GCCTCACCTCTACGTTAGTAGCATCCAATTTTTCTTCCATTACCTGCTTTAAGATTGATAGAGCATGTTTTTGAGCCTCTTTAAGTGTCATATTCTAAAAACGGAGGTGTCATTATGAGCTAAGAGAGGCACCTTGTGGAATATTTCTTGAAGAGCCTGCTGGGCCCCTTCTGAACCCGATCCAATGGCTTTGGCTTCATACCGAATGTAGGTTCCACTTGGATCCATGTGAAACCTGTATTAAATGATCAATAAGAGCTAAGATATTAGCATACAGTTGGGGACCACCTTCATCAATTCCAGCAAAAAGTAAGGCTACACCAAAAGGTCGACTCTGCAACGGTTATAAATTTAAAGGATATACCATTGCTCCGGATTCAACGTCGTCATCACCAAATGCCAGGGCCAGATTGCTCACAGCCGTTGTCACGTCCTCTACTGTCATTTTTTCATTATATAAAAACATATGGTGAGCTGCCTCAGTCCTGGCTTTCTCAATAAGTGTACGTGCATCTGAAACTAGACCACTCACAGCACAGGCTAAAGACAAATAAACTTAGCGGTAGTTTAAAAAATTAAACAAGCAATTTGTAAGTAGAGGCAGAGCTAACCGATGTGATTATCTACTTCAAATATTTTTTCTATGCTCGCAGGTACAATAAGGGGAGAAGTTACTCGCTTTTCGACAACCAAAACAATACCTTCGGGAGTCTTGATGCCAATTCCAGTGGATCCAAGCTAAGGGGTTAGATCGCATGAAATACCTTAGTAGCCTCGATCGCGTATTCCACTTGGAATAACCTTCCTTCTGGAGAAAATGTGTTCACACCTCTATCATATTCTGCTCTACTATGATACATGTGAAAGGAAAAATTATGAGCAGTAGGACACACTCAAGTGTGCACAAGTATGATAAAGATGCCTTTTGAATAAGCAACAGCCAATAAACGACCAGTTAAATAAATAAAACATATTAAGCTTTACAAAATATTAGTATCTAAAATAGGTAGAGAATATCATATATAAATTTTAGTAGATTGAATTTATCAATATAACAAATAAATGAATCATATTACCAACTAGATGTAGCAATAGCACTGAAATCCTCACTTTATGAATATAAACCATATTGAGTTAAAAGTACATATTTTTGTCAAAATTATATTTATTAGTTCATTTTTCATGGTCAGAATAAGAAAAATGCATAATCTTGCTTAAAATTAATAAATTATATAAAATGGCCTTATCTCGTTGTACTTCAGCCGTTTGGCTTTTATACGAAATTCTGGTTGACGTAGTCCACGAGACCTCCTTCATCTTAGGGGAAAGAAAATTAAACCTTCGTTTATTATATGATGGACATCATCAGAGATGCAACTCATTTTTGTACTTGTCTCAGGTTAACACTAGGTCAAGAATATTATCCGGCTCTATCTTACTTTTTATATAGACTCAATTAAGCAAAAGAAAATTGACACATTCAGATAGTTATATGATGGCTTGGTTAATTATCTTTCGTATTG